CCCACTTATTCCTTGTCTCTTTCCTCAGTGTACCAGCTGTGCCGTTTCCTCCCACGGCCCATGAACTTCTCCCCTCGGGAGCCATGGGGACCCTCTTCTGCGGGACAGACCCAAGCCATGACCCCCTCCCGGGTCCCCCTGTGCAGGGCAGGGCTGGAGGTGATGCCGTGGGCTTTGCCCCTGCTCCATCCGCGGCTTTACCTCGTGTTTGATCGAACGGGCACCGTAGTGCAAGTTGTAGCCGTCAGCCAGCACGTCCATGACCTCTCTGTCCCAGAGCAGGGTGATGTTGTGCCTCGCCTTGGCCTGCCGGGTGAGGAAGAGGAAGGAAGGGTTAGTGATGTCTCCCAGTAACCCTGGCACCCCGTTCCTTGGGCGGTGGGGACACCACAGGCAGCACGGTGGGGTGTGAGCGTCCCTGGGCCGAGGAAGGAAGGGCACTGCGAGCTCCACCGGGCCACAGCCACCGAAGCAAGTGGTCCCCCAATTCCGATTTAGCCCCCATGGAGAGTTCCAAGGTGCAATTAAGACAAATAAAGTCTCTGAGCACGGTCCGAAGCTCATCCCTGCCCCAACATGGGAGGAACCATTCCCCACCGGACCAAGGGGTCCTGACCCTTCCGAGCACCGAGGGTTCCCAGCTGAACAGCGTGTAAGGCTATGGTAGGTACACCCACATCAGGACGACGAAGGCTTGGGCAGGGACCTCCTCCTGCTCAGGTATCTCTTGAGAAGTTACCTCTAAAGCCATGGATGCTTTTTACCTTCTTGGCCCAAAAATTCAGCTCCTTGTTGACAAGCTGGATGAGCTCAGAGTGGCAAAAAGGGAGAAAATAGACAATCTCATTGATCCTCCCCAGGAACTCGTCTCGTCTGAAGTGAGCCTGCAGGAACAAGTGGGGAAGGTCGGCGGGGACAGGGCCGGTGACCCTGATGGGGACAGCGGTGACCGCGATGCCGCAGGAGGAGCTCCCTAGGGATCATCTCCACCTCTGACAGCTCCCACATCCACGTAGCGAGGCCCCGGCAGCCATCCCACCCCATGCCATGGAGCTGGAAATCCCTGCTGCCAGATCCTGGGTCACCAGGAGTACCTCAGCACGGGTTACAGGAGGAATGAATTCTTCTGCAGAGGGCAAAAGGAACCTCTCCGGCACCGTAAGCCCAGCTGCAGCCACTTCTGCTGTTTGCTCCTGCCCAAGCCACTTACAGCAACACCCCTCGCTGCTCTCTGGTTCCCAGGCTCCGATCGGAGCCTCCCGCCGGGAGCTCGAATGCTTGGTCTCTGTGGGAGCTGCCAGGTGAGCAGCGCCCTGAAGTGCTTCCGAAACATCTTAAAGGACGTTACTGTCATGGGGATGTGTCGCTGCGGTCAGGTTTTCCTGGCCCCTCTGCATCGGTGCAGGAGCTGAGCAGCCGGTGACCCCGGGCGAGCAGAGAACCCCCAAAACCCCACTGCAGCACTTCCCACCCCATGCTTCCCTTCTTGTCTCCCGTTGCTGCACTAAAACAAGCGCACAGGGAGTGAGTAAGAAGCTTTTACTTATTTCTGCTGGGCTCTCATCTTACTTCTTGGGGGGGCGGGGGGATAAAAAACCTGATGTCATGTCACTTCTCTTGCAGCTGGGGGACAGCTGGCTGAGGAAATTGGTGGATATTGCATTGAGTGACCAAAGCTCAGGGCATCTGAAACAGAAACCACAGAAAAAAATCATCCGTACCTTCAAGATGGGGCGAATCACCTTTTCCTTGAACTGTTTGGAGATGGTTATCTTGTCACTCATCTGGACATCCTCTGAAAGACAGGAGGACAGGGGCTGTCGGTGGGGAGGGACGGTGGGATGTGTGCTTCCCACCTCCACGGCTCCTGGAGGATGGACGAGCAAAGCAGCAGGGTAAGGAGGCAGAGGGTGGGCAGGGGGGTGAGGTGGGGGTCCAGGCTTCAGAACAGACCTGGAATCTCCACACGTGCCCCCAACCACGCCTGGTTGGGTAGTGGGGGGTCCCTGCACTGGACGCTCCGGACAGCGGGTCTGGGTCTCCTGTGGCTGCCCCGGCACACGTCGGGTGCCCGAGGAGAGCACCCTACACGGACCCGTTTCACTGGCATGGTGAAAGACCTCCGGCTCTGCCTCCGCTCTCTGCCCTGCACCCCCAGGAGCTGCGCCCCGGAGGTTTTGGGTAGCAGAGTCCTC